GAGTTAGAATTCGGGTTCGAATCCCGGCCCTTCCACTCGCTAGCTGTGCGACTTCGATGAGTCAGTCACCTTGTGCCTCAGTTGCTGCAATTGTGGGATGGGGGTAATAATCGTGTGGGCTATGTCATAGGGTGGTTGTGATGGTTAAGGAGTAAAGTGCATACAGCTGGGCCTGACCCAGGGCAAGAACGAGTTATGAGACCTTCCCCTCACTTCAGAGCAGTCCAAGAGTAAATGATTTCCTTCCACCCCTGTTTGGTCTTTGTTGGAGCAAGTCCTTTCTTGGTTGGACCCTAGGTCTCTCTGCTCTTGACTTTGGTTACAGATGATGTCCACATAACCACTAGCCTCAGTCCATGTTCTCTTCTTGCTCCAGCCCTTAGCTTCTTCTCCGTGACTGTTTCTAGCTCCTGGCTGTTTAGATTCTCAAATGCTGACTGCTTTCTTTCCTCCTCAAATCGTGCTTTCTAGGAGTCCTTGTCAGCTTCTCATCACCCTGTACTTCTTCCCTACCGAGCTTTCTGCTGTCTTTTCCTCATCTGGGCCCGTCCCTGGGTAACACAGCCCCTTCTCAGTACAGACCTGCTTGTTTGTGAGTCTGGTGACTTTTACTTTCCTCTGACTAAACTCAGTGTGCTGAGGACATTTTAGACCCGTGGTGTAGTCCGTGTCACACTGGGGAAAGGGTGGAGGACTAATGGAGGTGAATTGAGAAGGATGACTCCAAAAAATTAGTCACTCACATAAAAACAATATTTACTAAGAAGTTTTTAAAAAGACATTTATGAAAGAATTGGGAAATATGAACCCTAACTGGATATTTGATATTAAAGGGTTATTGCTAATTTTTTAAGTGTAGTTACTTTAAAAAAGAGTTTTATCTTTTAGAGATACGTTGCCCGTAAAATGATATGATGTCTGGGATTTGCTTAAAAATAATCCAGCGAGTGGGGTGGGGGATGTGGATGAAGCAAAATTGGCTATATATTGATAATTTTTGAAATCAAGTGATGAGTACATGGGCCTCTATTATACTATTCTCTTTATTTTTGAGTGTACTTGAAAATTTCTCTAATAGAAATGTAAACATTTTTTAAAAAACAGTGTTTTAAAGGCCCTTCAGGGACTGTTTCTCCATCTCCCTTGCAGGATTGGGGCTAGGAGGTGGGGGGGGAAATTGGTTTTCTCCTCTCTGCACACCCACTGCCCATTGCTCTTGTCAATCTCTGGTCTGTGGGTGCCCGAGGCCCCTGGACACAGCCCCATCCTGCCCAGCTGCACCAGAAGGGAGGGGCCTAGAGGTCCAAGTTGGGGGCAGGAGGTCTCTGCCTTACTGTCCTTTTGTCTAGCACCAGAACTATCCTTGAGGCAAAAACATCGTCAATTTTTGTCAGTTTCAGAGTCATCAGGTTCAGAGTCCTTCATAATGATCAGGTAATTATGATAACAACCACCTGTCAGCTGAACAGCACTACCTTAAGGGGTGGGAAGGACCAGTTGGCAGGGAGGGGCTGGGAGGGTGACAGAAATGCCTTTCCCACTGGCCACCACCCTATGATTAACCTGAGAGGCAGTGAAGTGAAGAGGTGAAGGTCAGTGAGCGTGAAATGCACAGAGCCTGCGTCCTTTCCCTGTCCTCGCCGCCCTCTGATTAGACAGGGCTCCTCCTCTTCTGCATCCCCGGCCTGGACGGGAAGCGCTGTCTCCACCTCTTCCCCACACCCCTGCAGGGTGGCATTCGTGGGCCAGGTGCATCAGAACTTCAGTGCTTGTATTTCGGGGGCTGCCTGTTTCTGAAGCTTGTTTGCCTTTCTTTTCCTCCGCTTTCTTGTTCTGCACTGCCCTGTAGAGGTGGAACGTAAACCATTCTTTGCTCTGTGCTCTGCATGTGGCAGGGATGACTGGGACAATTTCCGTGGGGTAGGCTGCATGGGACAGACCCCTGGGGAGGAAAGGCTTGGGGCAGGCTGTGGCAGTAGTGGCACATTATGTCTGCCTGTCTGTCTCTTCCATGGCAGGAAACATGTCTGTTCTCCCTTTTATCAGTGAGTATCTAGAATAGTGGTTAGCACACGGTGGTGCTTAGGAAATATTTGCTGAATGAATGACTATCTCATATGAAGTTAAGCTTGGAGAGGCAAATTTCATTAAAAAGCTAGGAAGATAGATTTAAGCTATATCTAGTGTTCTTTTTTCTTTTCTTTTTTTTTTGAGGACAATTAGCCCTGAGCTAACATCTGCTGCCAATCCTCCTCTTTTTTTGCTGAGGAAGATTGGCCCTGAGCTAACATCTGTTCCCATCTTCCTCTACTTTATATGTGGGATGCCTGACATGGCATGGCCTGATAAGGGGTGTGTAGGTCCACACCCAGGATCCGAACCAGCGAACCTCAGGCTGCCAAGGGAGAGTGTGCGACCTTAACTGCTACACCACCAGGTTGGCCCCTATCTAGTGTTATTTTATTCTGACACCCCACACATTAATGTTCTAACATATACATAATCATTTACATATGTATATGTATGTGTTATATTGCATATATATACATGTATATGTACATACACATATTTTATGTATATAATTTCCCCCTAATTGCTGTGTGAATAAAACAATTCTGGTACAATGACTATCTCATGGAATTGCAAAGATGATTTTGCATCTTTAAGGGCAGCAGGTGTTTGAATTCTATGTTGAGGAGGATGCTCATTTTGCCTTCGATGGTCAGTGAGTGATGGTTTGTTTTATCTCCACTGTGCCAGTCTTTGGCTTGTGATTTTTTTGTGTGTGTGTGTGTGTGAGGAAGATTGGCCCTGAGCTAACATCTGTGCCAATCTGCCTCTATTTTGCAAATGAGACGTCACCACAGCCTGGCTTGATGAGTGGTGTGTAGGTCTGTGCCCAGGATCTGAACCAGCAGACCCTGGGCTGCCGAATAGAAGTGCATGGACTTAACCACTGTGCCACCGGGCCGGCTCCTCTGCCATGTGATTTGATCATGAAGAGACAGGACTGAAGGAGAAAGGAGGGCGTTCTTTTTTCCTGGGAGATCACAGCACCCCATAGTTGTTGGTACACCGTGGGAAGGGCCAGAGAAATCTCATTTACAAGCATTTATGGGGATGTGGAGAAGACATTCTGAGCTGTTTTTCTGCTATAAGGGAAGAGGCAGGATTGAGTGGGTGTTTTGTACCTTTTGCTGCTTCCCACTCCCGGCCAGTCCCCTTCTTTCCAATTTCCTCCTGCACGGTCTCTCCCTATTTGGCACTCGAAGGGGCCGAGATCGTTCCCTGGTGCTTTTCTAGGGAGGCAGCCTCAATGAGCCTTCCCTCCCCTGAACCACGGTTCTCTTCTAGTCGGTTCAAAACTTTTCACTGTTGAGTGAGCGATCCTATCAGGAAAAGAAAAACTAAAGTGAAAAAAAAAATTCCATGCACACATAGCATACAACAAAACAAAAAGAACAGTGTCGTAGAAACAAAAACAGTCAAGTAATTCAGAAAATAATTATACTTTGTTGTAAAAAATTATAGTTAGAAAAAACTGTTAAAACCTTAGCAATTTTGAATTTCAGCATCTTGCCTGACATTGACTTGGGAATTTGAGAACCATCCATTTTGAGGAAATGTACAAACTCCTCCTTTCAGTTTCTCGACTGATCTTCCCACGTGTGCCCTGCAGCCTTAGGCATTAGATGGCATGGGGTTTGGGAAATCAACGTTGACATGGAGGATGTGGGCACAGAGAAGGAAGCAGACCTGGGAGGTGAGGGGCAGATAATAGGATGTGTGCTGTTATCCATCCTGTCAGTGTCTAATTATGCAGAGCAGGGGAGTAGATTACCTGCTTTGTGGATGTCTATCACCCAGGAGCTCCTATCCTTTGTGAGACTGAACTAAGAGAACGGAATCAGGACCATAAACAGAGCTGGTTTATGGGGCTTCTGATGAGCGAGAGAAGGGGGAAGGGGAGAGGAAAAGAGAGAGAATGAGAATATCTCAGATTGCATTTTAAGGCCAATTAGAAGTCACTTGAGAGAGAGTCTCTATAGTAATTAAGTGCATGGATCCTACAGCCTGCATTCACATCCTGCCTTGGCCATTTCCTGGCTGTATGATGTTGGGTGAGTAACTTGACCTCTCCCTGCCTCAGTTTCCTCATCTGTAAAATAGAGATAATAATTTTTACCTTGTGGGGTTGCTATGAAATTAAACGAATTCATATATATGAAAGGTGATTAGAAGAATTTCTGATCCATGGTAAAAATGAGCATTAGCTGTTAGTAATATTTTTGTTGGATGCCCCACTGTTTTTTGTCTCATCCAGGACTTCCTTCCGGTAGCTCATTAACAGCTGGTTGTGACAGGAAAGACTCCTTCCCTCACTTTTTTGGAATTAGTAGAGCCATCCTAACAAACTTAAGGATGGAAAAAGTCCTTCTACTTTGTGACAGCATTGCTGGAGAAGAGGCTCCAAGGACCGAGACGGGAATGTTTGACCTTCTGGAGAGAAACCTACAATTCAGTTAGCTCCTCTCGTCCTTGAGAGAAGAGGATGCTCTCAAATAATGTCTGAAACAGGCCCAAAGATGGGAAAAGGCTTGAGACTGAGAAATTATGATTGAAGTCTTAACTTTAAGCTTAGCTATTTCCATGTTCACTAGTTCCTAAGAAAATACTAGGCAAAAATATCAGAAACCCTGGCTATATGTTTTGAAATGAGACTCTGACTCCCCTCAGCAGAGCACTGGGTCCTCCGGCTTCGGGGTAAATATTAATATCGTTAAATTGCGGGGAGGGAGGTATGAGATTTGTTCTGTTCCTTCCTCAGCCTTGAGACTTTGCCGCGAGAGGTGGAGAAAAGTTAGTAGCTTTATCTGATGTAGTAAGCTCAGGAGCAAAATGCTGCCTGAACATACAACATTTTTTCTGCTCTGTTTTGGTCCTCTGTGCCTGAGTTTGTTAGGAGATTCACACCCCTTCCCAACTTTGCTTTCATGCAGGACCAGAATGGCCACAACAGCCCCCAGAGGTTGCCACCAGGGCCTGAACTCCAGGTACTACAGGCTTTGTGATTTGAATGAAGCTTGGGGAATCGTCCTAGAAACATTGGCTGCCCTCGGGGTTGTGACCACGGTGGCCTTCATGCTCGCTCTCGTGATCCTCGTCAACAAGGTGCAGGACTCCAACAAGCGAAAAATGCTCCCGATCCAGTTTCTCTTCCTTGTCGGTGTGCTGGGCATCTTCGGCCTCACCTTCGCCTTCATCATCAAACTTGATAGCGGCACGGGGCCCACACGCTTCTTCCTCTTCGGTGTCCTCTTTTCCCTCTGCTTCTCCTGCCTCCTGACTCATGCTTCCAACTTGACAAAGCTGGTCCACGGGAGGGAGCCCCTCTCCTTGCTGGTGATGCTGGGCCTGGCTGTGGGCTTGAACCTGGTGCAGGACATCATTGCTATTGAATACGTCGTCCTCACCATGAACAGGACCAACACCGCAATCTTCTCTGAGCTCTCTGCTACTCGACGCAATGAAGACTTTGTCATGCTGCTCATCTATGTCCTCTTCTTGATGTTGCTGACCTTCTTCATGTCCTCCTTCACTGTCTCTGGATCCTTCCCTGGCTGGAAGAGACATGGAGCCTACATCTGCTTCACCACGCTCCTCTCCATCACCTGCTGGGTGGCATGGATCACCCTGCTCTTGGTTCCTAACCCTGGCCCCCAGTGGGATGATCTCATCCTCAGCGCAGCCTTGGTTATCAATGGCTGGATTTTCCTGTTGGCTTATGTTGTGCCTGAGTTTCAAGTGCTCACAAGGCAACAGAACTCCATGGATTATCCTCTCGAGGATTCTTTTTGTAAACCTAAACTCATGAAGCAGAGCTATGGTGTGGAGAACACAGCCTATTCTCCAGAGGAAATCGCTCAAGGTACACAAGCTGCTTGGGTGGAGAATGCCTTGTAGAAAGGTGGGGGAGAATCCTAGGCTATTATAACTGTAAGGAACATGCGGGATCATTGAGGTCATACCCCTGATAGAACAGATAAGGTCCCCAAGGCTCAGACCTTGCTTAAAATCACCCAGCTAGTTAGAGACAAGTAGAACTAGAAGCTAGCCTCTGGAGTCTTTATCAAGTACTTTCTGTACAATACCATGTAGGTTTCTCTGAATCAAGGATGGAACAAAGGAATGGGAAAAGAATGGCTAGAAAAATTCTTAGAGACAAGTAGGTGAGATTGTGTTTTTTATAAAAGACAACTAGACATTCCTTCCAGAAATGTGGAGCCTTTGTAGATTTGAATGCATAAAGCCAAGCCATGATTTCCTGTAGTGACCACAGAGCACAGAGCAGGAGACAGCCCCTTTATCATAAACCAGTGGGAGTCTGCATAAAGTTACCGAGGATTCTGATTTAGCCTGAAGAGCCACCATTCATTGCCCGTCTCTGAGCCCGTGAGAGGGAAGAGATCAGATCTGACACAAAAGAATCAAATGATTTTGCTCTTGCCTGGAGCTGTGAGTAGCTAGGTGCTCTGTTGTTGTTCTCATAAGAAGAAGAGGCTAGGGGCCGGCCTGGTGGCGCAGCGGTTAAGTGCGCACGTTCCGCTTCTTGGTGGCCTGGGGTTTGCCGGCCTGGATCCCGGGTGTGGACATGGCACCGCTTGGCAAAAGCCATGCTGTGGTAGGTGTCCCATATATAAAGTAGAGGAAGATGGGCATGGATGTTAGCTCAGGGGCAGTCTTCCTCAGCAAAAAGAGGAGGATTGGCAGTAGTTAGCTCAGGCCTAATCTTCCTCAAAAAAAAAAAAAAAAAAAGAGGCTAAACTGATGGCCAGAAACTGCCCTTGCCCAGAGGGATCTATTTGTTGACCTCCAGCATTTCCATTGATCTCTGGGTCTAATTGGAGAGCGGGAATGGGGTTGGGACAGGAGTGAGGGAGCTCCAAGGCCAGGTTCTTAGCCTCAGCTGAGAGTTTTCTTGCTCTTGAAGCCTGAGGTGCACAGGTTCTTGGGGCTCCTCGCTGCAGCTGTGGTCTATGCCCCCGGCCCTTGGGAAGCTTTTCACAGCCATAGCCCGGTGCCCCCTGCAGCTGTGCCCTCAGTCCAAACAAACCCATTCACTGCCTTTTCCTGCCTCCGTGTCTAGGCTCGTGGAGTGTCTGTCCTCGGCTTGACGTGCCCTTTGTCCTTACTGTTGCGATTTTTGAGTCACTCACTCCCTAAACTCCCTCAGTATTCACTCCACCTGCCCGCACATCTGTAGGACTTTAAAATGCTCTTATCAGAGTCTGTCCCATTCCCTAGTTATTTGTGTAGTGGTCATATAATCCTTCCTCTCCAGGGGCAGCCTCAGGGCAGGAATCATTCCAGCTCATCCTTATATTCTTCACAACATATTTCATATAGAAGGTGTTTAGGGGAGCTGGCCTGGTGGCACAGCCATTAAGTTCATGCGCTCCACTTTGTCGGCTGGGGGTTTGCTGATTCGGATCCTGGGCGCTGCTCATCAAGCCGTGCTGTGGCAGCATCCCACATAAAATAGCAGAAAGAGGAAGACTGGCAACAGACGTTAGCTCAGAGCCGATCTTCCTCACACACACACACACACAAGAAGGTGTTTAGGTATTTACTGAGTTAATTGGACAGGTAGATTTGGTGGGAGAGAAATGAATTGCTTGAAATTGTATTCATGATGATTGCACGTGTTTGCTCTTCTGTTCCTGAGTTGAAGTCCCTCTGATTTCCCCAAAATACATAGAAAACAATTGCTCATCAATTCTGCCCCTTCCCCCCCAAATAATAATAATAAATTGATTTCCGTTTGTCAGGCAGTGGAGGAAGTGGGTAAATCCTCAGTGAGATTCACTCTGGGTGCATCTCTGGCAGATCTATACCTGAAAAGACTGGTTTCCAATGTGCTCCTCGGATGAGGTGAGGATTGAGAAAGGCGTTTCCCTACTGAGCCTGTGCTGCTAGCTTTTCGTTTATTCAGTCAACATTGTCCTTACTCTGGGCCTGGGCCTGGGCTCAAGGACACAGTCTCTTCCAACACAAAGCTTACAGCCTCCAGGGAGATAGACAATTAAACAGATGAGGCGTCATGCTTTGATAAATGCCTCAGCTGGGCTCAACGCAGGTGGGAGCACGAGGGAGGGGACCCTAACGCTCTGATGGCTCCTCTTGTCTGTTTCAGGTCGGGAAGGGCCAGGTCACGAGCTCTACACCCCTTACTCCACCCATTTTCCGCTCCAGGTAAATGATCTCTTTCTCCCTTTTCATCGGCAGCCTTAGCACCCAGGGACATTTGTCCTTTGGGAATAGATGATGTTATGGTTCTGAAGGCCCCTCAATGGCCACCTTGAAGGATGACCTGTTTGCTTTCCTGTCATCTGCCTCATGGGGTTAGGACAGAAGACAGGAGCGCAGGGCCCAGGGAGCACGTTATGGGGACGCTCCAGAAGGGGAAGAAAATTAGGCTCCTGCCCATGTTAGAGCTGTGTTGAAATGGCCCAGAATTGGACTGAGTTTAATAAAATACGGTTGCTTTCTTTTCAGAATCCGACTCCCCCAAAGGATTTCTCCATTCCACGGGCCCACAGCCCTTACAGTGATTATGAAGGAAGGAAAGATGGCAGTTAACTGTTCTGAAGAGTGGGACTAACACAGCAAGTCAGCAGAACCAGCGGGGAATTCAAAAGGACGTGGGCTAAACCTGAGTCTTCTAAGGAAACTGTAGGAACCGTGGTGGGAAGAGCTTGCCTCCCCGCCAACCTCAACCTCTGTCCTTCTGTTCTGGAGTTGATGGCGGCTAATTAGACTCCAGTTCTTAGCACAACTCTAGCGTTTTCCTTTGTCCCAAGCTTAGGATACTCCTTGTCAGTGGGAGTGTGAGGCAACTCAGGGCTAGGCTCTCACAACTCCCTGTCACCTGACATGTGACTAAAGATCTGCTCATCTGACCACGTACTGGCTCAGGCCACTTCAGGAGCCACCTTGTCCCCTCAAGGCTGGTCTTGTGAGGTTGCTTGGCCTGGAGCAGAACTGCAAATCTGAGCAAAAACAGCAAAGGCCTGTCTCTCAGCCTTGCCCTGCCCAAATCTACACTGGAAGCCACCTTACTGGCACCCTCCCTTCTTGCCTGGGTGGGAGAGGCTAAAGGTCACCCTAAATTTACTCATCTCTGTGGTGCTGCCTAGCGCAGGGGCTCTATGGGTCCCCAGCACCGATTCACAGGTCACCCCTCTCTTCCTGCACCCTTCCCAAACTTGCTGTCAGTCCCCAGACCTCATCTCCCCTCTTTACCAGGAGTTCTCCTTCTGGGCCTCCCCAGTGTGGACATGTCCAGTTTCTCTGCCCGAAGGATTTGTGCACTGTCCTCGCTGTAAATTCCTGGCCCGGTGTCTTCTCCCATCCCCCGCTCCTCCGCCTCTGTAAATAGATTCGCACCGTGATCACCCCTGCCTTCTGTAACGGGGCATTGTCTACGAATGGGGAGTGTTCCTTGTCTAATAAGCTATTCGCTGTTCCTCACCTGGAGATGCAATAAAGATGTGGTGACAACCCTTTCATGTGGCAGCAGTTGTATGAGTGGTGGCATTAGACACGAGGGAGAGATGGCTGGCTCCGCTGTTGGCATCAAGTTGGAGCTGAAGTTCAAAGTTCAGTTTCACTAGATGTGGACTTGACCCGTCTCCATGTGTCTCTCCTTCTCCTTACATCTAAGACAAGTGTGTTTTCCCCAATTTTTGAGGTGAGCGGCAAGGGTGGCGGGGGGCCAGGAAGGGTCGTGGGCCCTGAGGTTTCGCTCCAGGAAGGCGGGAAGTGGCCGCCTTGGAATGGGGTTTGGCAGCCCCGGTGAGACCGGGAGGAGACCTCAAAGCCAGTTTCACGTTTCACCCAAGGTTTAATTATAGTAGGGGATAAATCCAGATCCCTTACTTGACGGGATTGGTTCATAGCATCTCTTGGAAAAGCCATGGTACTTAGCAATTATTATTTACTTAATCCCAGAAACAGCTCTGTGGGGCAGGGCAATAGGAAATTGCTCTTTGGTGAAGGAAAAAAAAAACTCCCTGTACACAGAAACTGAATGATGTTTAAAAATTTGTAGCTGAGTTAGGGAGTTACCTCCTGAGAGCCTGACGCTCTGCTTTTCATCAAAAGGAAAACCCAGAGTGGGAAGAGGTGAGGTTGGAGATGGATTAATGACACGCTGAACTGGGGATACTGACATTCCACAAAGGTTTGGTTGATTGTTTCCCTCATGGCTTTGCACTAACATGAGTGTAGTTTTGTACTGAAAAGGGGGGATTACAAATAATGACTTGGATCCTTCTAGACTATTCCAGTCTTTTGCAAGAGGCCATAACCCAGTGAGGTTTGCCAGAGGAAAAACAATATAATTTCCTGTATATTATCTGTCCTAGTGTAGGTACTCAAGAAATACACACTTCCCTCCTTTCTCTCCTTCTCCGGTCTCCAGTCTATCAACGAAGCAAAGGCGGCTCAGTGAAAGGTAAAGCCATAGAATACTCTGGATCTGTTTTCTTATTGGGGAAAAGAGTCTGCCAGGTCTTAGTATGCCCATGACTGCAGTCCTTGAGTTGACCTCTTCAAAAACAGGAGAGAACATGGAAATGGCACCCATCTCTGGAAACTGGCTTCTCTTCTAAGAAATCAAGTGGCCTCCAGAGTTTGGATCTCACTGAGTTCTTGTTCTTGCCAGGTGGTAGAACAATGTTCCCCATTTGAACAGCACTTGTCATCTCCTGTCTCCTGTCTCCTGTCATCCCCTGGGTGCTCACCTGTCTTCAGGTCTTAAGTCCTCTGCACATAAACTCTTATGTTAAATTAGGGACATCTCAGAGGGTGGCGGTTTGGGCATCTGAGAATCACTGTAATATTGGAGAAGAAGCTTTCAAAGCCCATCCTGTAAGTCTCTGTCTCCACTGGGGCTGAAATAGAATGCGCAAATTTAGCCCAGCCTGGTCCTTGAGTGACGCCAATTGATTGATGGCTGGGAACCAAAATGGCATCTCCTTTGAACTAAATGGGTGATAAGGAAATGTTGCTCAGCAGCCTTTCTCTCATCTTTCATTGTCAAATGAGAAATAGACCTGGTCTCATCTGTGCCTCTCACTTTAGGCTGAGAAGCTGTCCACCACTGCCATACCCCGCGGTTCCACTTGATGGCAGTGAAACCTCAGGCATCACCCCTCAGGGACTCAGCTCCTCAAGAGCAGACATCTAAAGCCGTTCTCCCATGAAGGGCACGAGGCAGAACTGCGGATCCCCAGTGGGCTTGAGGCAATCGCATCCCATTTTTTAAAGGCTTGTGTGTGTGAGCTGTTTGAGTCCTCCCTCCCACCATCTTTAAAGAATTTGCTTTCCGTCGCCTTTGCCAGGGTTTCATTGCCCTGTGTTTTATTTCTGTGAAACTCTCCAAGGTATTTCCAGCCCTTCTGCACACAGTCTGGCGTCTTCACAGATACTGGTCTCATATGCTGTTGCTATTCATGTCGATGAGTATTTATGTGGGGAGGACACTGGCTTTTTGTCAGGAAAAGTGCGCCCACCAGAGAACAGCCTGGCTCCAGAAATGCAGCATTAACCCCCCCCCCCCCCCGCATTCTGGCTTTCCTTCCTTCATTTCTAGACTCGGCATTATTGCTGAGAACTGAACTGTGCCCTAGTGTTCTTTCCTTCCTTGCCCCCTTCCTACTGTTGCCACCAGGGTTTGCCCAGAGCTTCTTGAGACGGTGCCTCCCAGCCCTCATTTTACAGAGGCGGGAACTCAGACCCACTGGAGTTAATACAACTGGGACCAGATTTCCGGTTCTGTGCTCTTTCTACTGTCAACCTTGTGGGTCACTTTTAGACACTTTTTTCCCAGGGGGTGTTTGAGTGAAGAATTAAATAAAACGACCATGGTCCCCATATATTTGAAGCGTGCCTGACATTTTCCTCTGCCTCCCCAATTGCCTTTTCTCCTCACGATTTCTCCTTTAGTCATCTTCTCCCCCCTCTGCATGTAAGCGGTCAGGAGAGGGGTTGGGTGAAGTCTCACATTTTCTGGTTAACCACAGGTCACTCTCTGTCCTGCAAGCCCCACCAATGAGCATTTGCCTCTCAGGAAGGTAGGCTGTCAAACGAGGGATTGCAGGGCAAGCAGACTTCTTCATTTTCCCAGTCATTGTGACAACCCTTCAACCTCCCCGAGTCCCATATGGAGTCAAAACCCCACACCCAGCGCCTCTTCTTTTCCTTTGTGTGGTTATAGCTCCCCTCAGGGAGCACTGTCGCACCTCTACGCCATCTCTCACTTCCTGTGCAGTTTCCAGGGCAGGTTTCAGAGGCAGTCCTTGGGAAAACGTTGCAAGTAACTGTTGTGTGTGTACAGTCGTCCCTCGTTATCCGCCGGGGATTTGGTCCAGGACCTCTCGTGAGTACCCAAATCCGCGGATGCTCGAGTTCCTCAGTGCACTATTTCACAAGGCGTGGGTGGTTGAAATCGCCGATACAGAACGCACTGATAGCGGGGCCGACTGTAAGGACCTGAGCCCCATGGCTCAAGCACCGGATCCACCAATGGTGTGCAATAGAAAAGAAGAGAGGGTGGCACTTTAACGGAATTTGGTTACCACATGCGTAACGCCAAACTGGCCAGACCCAGCTGCTTCTAGTTCAGCCGCGCTCCCGAAATACGATCTATCAACGCCGCTGCCTTTTTATCAACTCAGAACAACTCTGACAAGCTCATGTAGCTGTGCCTTGAGCTCTGGGACGTGGTGGTAGGGGATAGCACCATATCCTGTGATTATTGTAAAACTAGACAATTGTAGTTGAATTGATAGAAAAAGCATATATTGATTTTAGCAATATAAGAACAAGATGGAGAAAGGCGGGGATAATGATAACAGAGTAAGGTGGAGTCATAGTCAAACATTCCAGAGGAGCTCATTTATTAGACAGAGATCTTTAGAGGTTTCCCACAGGGCTCTGTCTTTGGAATTGTTTGGATTATGTTTTTATTGACCACTTGAAGACAAATAAAGCATATTTACCACATTTTGCACGTGATGCAAAATTAAGAAAGACTGAATAATACAACCAGATCACAAATATATTCCAATAAACTGGAATAAAGATCCCAAACCAAGAATTTAATTTAATAGATGTAAATGTATTCATGTCCCCCAAATAAATTACATAAATACAGGTTGGAAAGGCTTGGTTTGACAGCAGATTTTATGAAAAAGAGCTGGTAGTGTTAGATGTCTGTAAGACTGTAAGGACCGTCATGTGGCTCCGCAGGCAGAAAGGCAATGCGATAGCAGGCGGCACTGATACAGTTGTGAAGTCTAGGTCAAGGCGGGTGCTGTTCCCCGGAATCAGGGGCACGCTGGACCACATCAGAATATTAAATCTATTTCTGTGCATCTTGCCGTAATGGAGGAGCTTCTAACAGAGGAGCTATTTTTAGAACTACATGATGCACAAAATGTTTGATGGAAATGGTGAGATTTCATCTGGAGAGGGGAAGACTTTGTAAGGTACCTTATCATCCTCATAGCTAACATCTATTTTGAGCTCACTCTGTGCCATGCTCCATTTTAAGGGCTTTCCTTGCATAATATGACTTAATATTTATAAAATCCTTATGAGTTATTATGATTATCATCCCCCTTTTACTTAACACCTGCAGAAATGGAAGTCCTACGGTGACATAGCTCCCAAGTGACGAGACTGGAGCTCAAAGCTGGGTGGGCTGTGTCCAGATCTTATATGCATAACCCCATGCGGCCTCCCAACTGTCTTCAATAATGACAGCACAACAGGTGGCTCCATGGTTAGAAATTTTAGGGAGGCGGATCCCAGAAGAGCTTCCTGCGAAGTGGTGGGTTATCTCTTGCTGGAGGTGTTCAAGCTCAGTGATGCTCTGGAGGCTGATGTGGGGAATTCTGTATTAGAGAAGGCTGGGCTAGAAAGCCTTAAAGAGTCTTAGCACTCTCAGCGCTCTGGGCTTTTATTTGCCAAGGTGTCACTGCTGGTGTTTGAATCTGACAACATGGAAGGGTTGTCAGTTTTACTGTATAGTTTTCTTCCCCTACACTTGCATCTGAACGCTTCCTTAGTCCTCACGTGAGAACAAAAATGCCCACATTGTCCGGATGTGCTCTCACCTTATAGTTGGTGTTCTTATGTTATTGGATGTCATAATCCAGCCCCTGGCTGATAGTTTTACAGAGCTGTTCTTCATCGCCTTGCTTTAGAATGGAGGGTGCCCAGTACTAGAGTATATGTTGGACTGAGCACCGCTTGATTGTGGGCATGGCAATCTTGTAGAATCCTTTGCAAAGATTCCTGGACTTTACAGAAACCAGGGTGCCCTCCTTCACCTCAGATACATGCAGTCAGTGCCTGAAATATTGCCCAATTTAGTTCTTTACACAAAAGCTACCATTTGTAAGCCAAAAAACCCCCAAATGAGTCCCTGTTGTTCTTTGAGGGTGATTAATTACATAAGAAAGAACCCTATGATTTGTGTTGCTCAGCGAAATGAAAAAGGTTCGTGG